GCCCAGGGGTCGCCCCGGCTGCCAGCCTGACCCAGGCCCCTCCTGGCCCCTCCTAACCGTCCCCGCTGCTGGTGCTCACCCGCCTGCTCGGCGGTTGCCTGACAGATGCCGCCTCCCTGAAGAGGGCGTACCAGCTGATCAAGTCCGCCAACCTGGGGAAATCCGAGTTCGACCCCACCGAGAGCTTCAGCCCCGACCTGTTTGTCCTGTGCGCGGAACAGGCCCTGAAGGTCATTGCCCCAGGGGTCCCTAGGTCCGGGTTTCTGCTGGAAGCTGAAGGCCTGGGCACAGTGCCTGGTGGGTGCCCGCGGGACAGACCCCGGGACCCCTGCGTCCTCAGGGCCGCCTCAAGCTCCGTCCTGTGTTCAGGGGAAGGAGGCAGCCAGGGCGGTGCTGTCTTGCAGATGGGGCAGCCCGAGGTGAGCGAGGACTGCATCCAGATGTACTTCAAGGTGAAGGGACCAGTCACCCAGTTTCTGGGCCGAGCGCACCTGTGCAGGGCCCAGCTGTGTGCCCCCAAGTCCACCGAAAATCTGGTGAGAGCTGGCCCCCTGCTGCCACCGCCCTGCGCTTTCTTTTGGTTCCTGCGAACCAGGGGGCCTCGCCTGCGCAGTGTCCCTGCTGTCAGTGAGGGGAGGTGTCCGCCGCTCTGACACGAATACGTGTCTGTCCTCCTAGACTTCCCTGTGAGGTTGCTTTGATTGTCCTCAAAGTTCCACGTCTTGCATCCCAACAGTTAATATGTGACCTTCCCTGCTTACAAATTGTGTCGGGCTACACAAATCTTTAAGTATTTTTTGTGAAGAGTTACATGACCAGGTTCATTTTCAGCGAGGTTTCCTGTTTGTTCTTCCCCTAAGCACTGGAGTCTGATTTGCATCCTGTTTGACATTTGACCTGTGCACTGTGGTGCAATGGCTGTGCCCCCAACAGCCGCCCCTGAGCCAGGCAGAGGGGAGCTTGCCAGGGAGAGGTCGAGGCTGCCTCAGAGCACACACAGCTGCGGCCTCTGGTCGGGTCAAGCTCCCACTGGGCACGGGGCTCCCGGGCCAGTCTCTAGTGGGACCTGATGTTCCCAGAGGGACCATGAGTGATGATTGATGTGCCAGTGGCAAGCTGGATTTAACTGTACATTCTTCATGTTTCAGGAGGAGTTTGAAAATTGCGTGACTCAGTACATGAAGGCAATTAACTTTGCAAAAGGAGAACCCAGGTAGGCTGTGGGTCTGCTGTCCTCAACTGGGATTATGTAAAAGGTTTGGACCAGAATCTACCAAGTGGTTCTCTCTATTCAGAATGTAGGGTCTTTTCCTTGCTCTGTGTTTTTAATGCACTTGTAGTACCAGGCACATCTCTAATGTAGAGCTGGGCTGCAGGCACAGTCCCCGTAGCTGCACCCTCTACTTTGATCAGCAGTTTCTGGGACCTGCAGGTGACTTGTGTCAGCTTCCTCTATGGGCCTCTTTACCCCAGTCCCCAGGCGTCTCGGGGGTTCAGCATCTTGGTTCTCTCCCTGTGCTAACTCAATGGCCTGTACTCCCCTGGCCACCAGCTGGGCCAACACCTTATGTCTGTGGAAGTGATTTGACTGAGACTCCAGCACAGTTTTCTGCTTAATTAATATTTGCTCCATCAAAAGTAAATATTATTGAAACTGTTAACTTTGCACACAACCTGTGTAGACAAGACACAACATTTAAAGGAGATTTCAGCATAAATCTTGGGTTCTCTCACTCGCTGTCCTACTACCTGCCATTGATGGCCTTGTCTGGCTTACTCCTGTGATAGGTGCTGGGGATACAGGGCCCAGCCCCCAGACTGTCCCTCAGCGGGAACCTGCAGACAGGAAACCCGGTGGCTTCAAGCCGGAGGTTCTAAGGACAGTGGGTGTTCAAGGGGACCATGCCCTGGAGCCATGGATCGGGAGTGGTGGGCATCGTTGGGGCGGGGCCTGGTCACTGCTGCATTCCAGGGGTTTTGGGAACACTTGCAGAATGCCTGTTGGGGAACCAGGAGCCTGGGGGGCTGTGCATGTTTCCTCATGCGCTGTGGGCCATATGTCTCAGTTGGGACTGCTGCCATCTGCTGGGGACAGAGGAATCCAGGTTTCCTGCCAGAAGAGGGCTGGGGATAGGCTGTGCTGCTGATCGTGTCTCAGACTTCCTCTTCTTGTGCCACAGGTATTACTTCTTGGTCTATAACGCATCGGTCCTCTACTGGCAAATGGTGAGGCCCTTTCTCAAGCCTGGATATTACCACTACTTGATCAGCAGCCTCTCCCAAATCGTGAGCGTGTTGAATCAGACCGAGGAAGAAGACAAGGACTGGCAGGCAGAGCTGATGCTGTGAGTGGAGATGGCCCGCCCTGCACTCTCCCGGGGGGGTGATCATTCACAGTGCAGGTGTGGGTCGCTGCTCCAACTCTGTATTAGAGTCATGGTTTTGTGGGACTTGTCCGAAGATGTTTCTAAACTGTAGATGACATCATATGGGTATTATAACAGGACGTGTTGTTCCACTCAAAACATAGGAAATGTGAGCCTGTGCTATAGTCCTGGCTCATGGTTTTAAAAACTTAGTTCAGTAAATTGTGAATGTAGTAGATGTTTTTAGCATGAAACTCAGCCAGAGCAGGAAGCACATGCTGAGCACAGGGCCACGGGGATGGCCTGAGATGCCACAGTGAGAGGTGTCAGCAAGCGACCCTTGTGCCGAAGGCACAGAAAGGTCATGTGTGACACGTTTCTGCATCCAGGCAGTGCTGTTGCAGGCCAGTGACTGGGTGAGCGTCTGCAGGACCCAGAGGATCTGCCCTGAAGCTGGAACCCAGAGTCCTGGCTTCCTCTCCTGCCTATGGCCATTAGGGGAGCCTTTGACAGAAAACATGTATAAATGTGATCTTTTCAAATGTCCTCTGTGACAACCCTGAGGACAATCCCTTTCTCATCCCTGCCTGCTCGACCCTGCTGGGCCAGACTATGGCTTGGGGTACAGAGCTGGCCCGTCGTGTGTCTTCTGGAAGTCTGTGAAACATGAATAAAGGTATAAGAGCCTGCTTAGTAGACATTTGCAACAGAAAATGGTTTCATCAGGGTTTTCTATCCGCTACTTGTATGTTATCCAGGGAGCTTCTGGAGTGTTACCTACAAGCTGGGGAAAAAGAGGAGGCCGCCAAGTTTTGTGCCACCGCAGCGCCGTTCATAAAGGCGCACGCGCCGCACAGATACCGACAGATGTTTTCCGTGATGGTGAGTTGGCAGGTTTTCCGTGATGGTGGAGACAGGAGAAGTAATTTCGTTCAGTGTCATCGTTCAGAAAACTGTATAAAACCAGCCCGCAGGTCCATCCCCTGAGGGATATGAAACATGCAGGCACAAACACAACAAAACGACAGCTTTTCTTCACTGTGACTCTGAAGATTTCCTCTGTAACAGCACTAACTTTAAAACCAGTGGAAAATTTGTAAGGACAAAGTACCATGACAACATGTACGAAGAGCATTCGTAATCTATAAATTTTGCGAATAGGAAATCAAGTTATATATGAAAAGCTAAATAATAAACATAATTAATGATAAGATACTTGTTAATTAGAAATATTAACGTTAAAGAAGGAATATTTGCCCAGCCGGGCGTGGCTCAGCAGTTGAGCATCGACCTAGGATCCAGGTGATCGGGGTTCGATTCCCGGTCAGGGCACATGCCCGGGTTGCGGGCTCGATCCCCAGTCAGGGACGTGCAGGAGGCAGCCGATCAATGACACTCTCATCATTGATGTTTCTCTCTCTCTCACTCCCTCTCCTTTCCTCTCTCTGAAATCAATAAAGACATATTAAAAAAAATAAAAATAAAAAACAATAAAGAAGGAATATTTCCCAAGGAAGAGCTAACCACAATATCCGATCTCTACCTAATTACTCCTTTAAAGCTGACTTGATACCCCATTCCACTTTATAACAGGTACACCATGAATTGATGGACGAATCTCAGTTAAAGGAAGAAAAAAAAGGTTCCCTCAGCCTGTCCATCACTTTCCTCATTAACATGCTGAAAGGGTAAGTGTTTAGGGAGGAAGGACAGAGCGAGGTTTACCGGTGTCCTCTCTGGCCAGGGGTGTGGCTGTGTCCAAGGGGGTGGAGCTGCAGGGCAGCCCTGCAGGGAGGCTTCTACCCCAGGTGAGGTTTGAGACTTGGCCAGGAATTTGAGCAAAATTAGAGTAGCTTGTGGGTGAAACCCCGCTGGAGTGGGCTAGAGTGACCGGGGAGAGGAACTGTACCCAGGCAGAGACCTGCTGCAGTGGAGAGGGAGCAGGGTGGTGGAGAGCCAGCGTGAGTGAGGCGACAGGGGAGCAAGGAGGCCTGGGTCCTGGAGTGGCCAGTGGAAGGGCTGGGCATCCCGGGCGGCTGGCCTGGCAGAGGGGCTGGGGCACAGTGTCCTGGGCATTTTCTCAGTGATGTAGGAAGAGAGCCCGCCTGGGAGTGAGGGCGGGTGAGGCAGGTGAGAACCATCCAGGAGCCGAGGAAAGGAGGCGGATTCATTTTAGGCCTCTGTTCGGTGGGAAAACAAGGCTCATGGATTTAGAGTTTTTTTAGGATAATGTGAATAAACCCGACAGGAGTTTGGTTATTTAATGTTTGAATTACTTCTAGAAAATTGGATAAAAACGATTTACCTGAAGACGTCAACAAAGTTCTGAAGAACACCCATAAGCAGTTAGGACTTTATAATCACCAGCGCTTCCCTTTGATCAGAGAGGAGAAGTAAGTGTCTGTGTTTTAGCAGTTTCACGGCTGCGGGTGACCGTGTGAAATTCGGCGAGGGCAGAACGGGGAGGGTACAGCAGCACCGTGACTGCCCTGCCACCAGCGCAGCCACCGGGAGTCCCTGGCCTTTCCTCTGGTTCTCTTTGTGCTGAGGTCTGTACTGTTTGGGGAGCACCTGGGATATGCAACTTCACTCCCTACTTTTGAAAATCAAATTGAACTCTGGCAGAAGCACTTTTCAAGTTCTTACAAGATCTTACCCCTTTCTGACCGGCTGTGCGCCATTTCTGCAGGTGGAAGGCAAAGGTCCCCCCCGCCCCCGCATGTTGACTTCTCAGTTCTGTGCAGTCCTGGTTCCTGAATCCTCCGAGCCTGTGCAGAGTTTAAGATGGTCCTGGTTTGAATTCCGGGAGTGGGAACTCACTCGGGTTTGCAGATCCTCTGGGAGGTCAGAGCTGTGGGGGCGATGAGCAGATGGCATGTGCACGTGGAGGTGTGCGTGTTTTCTGCAAGCAGTGTCCCCTGTACCCGCTGGGCGCTCCCTTGGGGTCTCACTGTAGCCGTGAGCAGCCGGGGACCTCTCGCAGCCTCTCCCCATGCGTTCCTGAGCCCCCCCCCCAGGACTTGAGATGGCTCCCTCCCCTCCAGTGTCTCTCGGGCCTCGCTTTTGTAAAGACTTGTAGCTTTGCTGTGGTGTGACCATAGAGGTTGTCCAGAACAGGTTGTGACATTTGCATTTCTTTACAATTCACATGTGGTCAACACCTGGCCTGGAAGAGAAGGTGTGTCCTCTGCTTGCTGGGGACACAGGCTCAGTCACCTGCCGTGGGGGCTTCAGGTTCTTCCTGTGCCCAACCCTCAGGGGCCCTGCTGACACCTCAGGTGGCAAAAAATGTCCCATTAGATTAAAACTAGGAAGGACTAAAACCAGTAATTTCTACCTTTGTGGATTTTCCCTTCTCACCTGGGCCAGAGCTCAGGGTGGGTGGAGACTCAGGAGGCCAGGCCTGCCAGGGCCCTTGTCAGTCCAGGGGCAGAGTGGGCAGAGGACAGGGTAGGCAGGGAGAGTGGGGGCCCCGGGCACCACACCCCTGCCCAAGTCCTCTGGCTTCGTTCTTTTCCAACTTTGCTCAGGCCATCATAGGGCCTTAGCCTTTTCATTTATATTATTTAAAAAATATTGACTTTAGGGAGAGAGAGGAAGGGGCACAGAGAGAGAGAGGGAGGAGGAAGCATTTGCTGCTCCACTTACTCAGGCATCATTGGTTGATCCTCCTTGGTTGTGCCCTTACTGGGGATCGAACCCGAAACCTTGGTGCATCGGGACAGCGCCCTAACCAGCCGGCTGCCCGGCCGGGGCTCCGTGTTCTCGTTTCCTCCCTGCCTCGGCGAATGATGACTGAATGCTTCTCCTGCACTCGGGCATCCCCCCTGCACCCCGTTGATGCATTGCTGCTCTGCTTTTGTTTCTAGAATCCTCTTGCTCTTTGAATTGGCTCATCTTTCTTTGACCTTGAAATGTGAGGGCATCTCCTCCAGCTGCCTCGAAGACTTGAAGAAAATTGACAGCAAAGTAAGTGGCCAGTGACCGTGGGTGTCCGGTGCCTGCCCGCTGTGGTCGGGACGGGACGGGAAGGGAAGGGCTCGGAACCCCGGGAGGCGCGCCGCCCTCGGCCTTTGCTGGCGCGGCTCGCGGCTCACGTGGGGAGGTGAGTTCCCACAGCCCTTTCCCTTGCGGCGCCTCAGAGGCTGGCCCGGTTCCCACCCGGTGTTTGTACAGCGCACTTCAGGGCTGCACAGTATTTTGCCTTGGTCACAGTCCACAGCTTCCTCTCTGACCTGTTATTGGACATTCAAATCCTATTTTTATTTTTTTTTGCCCTTTCTGTAAAGGGCTGCAGGGAACACTTTGTGCCTAAAATTTTTATATGCATTTAGGATTTTCCCCTAAGTTTATTGACGTGAAATTACTAGGGAGTTCCCACTTTTAAGATTTTTAAATACACATTACAGTATTGCCCTCCAAAGAAAAAGTTCACGAGAGTGTGTGCTTCAGGTTTATTTGTTTTTAATCTAAGAATGGTGGACGGTCTCTTCCACACAGCAAGGCTTGTTTCAGCAGAAAATTAAACTTTATTAAGATGAAGAACCCTGCCCTTTGAATGATACTGTTAAGAAAATGAAAATACAAGCCAGATACTGAGGGAAGTTTTTTCAAATCTCCGATAAAGGACTGTATCTAGAATATATAGAGAACTCTAAATACTCAGGAAAACAAACAGCCTGAAAAATGCAAAAGATCCAAGCAGACTTTCCCATTGGACATATGTGGACGTCAGGGAGAGACTAGGTGCTGAGCACCAGGAGCTGTGACGCTCACTACTGTGTTTGGGAAAACCTAGTTTCCTTCTGTGGGCTTCTGCCTTTGTTTTCACACAGAACACTCCACTTCTTGACACCTGGTCACCCAGTGCATGGAGGTTTTTCCCGGACCAAGAATCCTCCAACCCCAGCTGGGTGTCCTTCAACTGAACTCAACTCTGACACTGTCTTCCTGGGGAGAGCATCAGACCTACAGGTTAAGGCTCAGTCCCACGAGACCCCGTCCCCCTAGATGCTAATTCTAAGTCATTGGTCCCCAGATGACCCACAGCTTCTGTCTGATGTGGCTACAAATTGGGGGTTTCCATGACCCCCTCCTCGGGTTCAATTAATTGCTAGAGCGGCTCACAGAACTCAGAGAAACATGTTTACTGGTTTATTATATCATAAAGGAAATGACGAAGGACACAGATGAACAGCTAGACCAAGAGCTACACAGATGAGGTCTGGGAGGGTCCCAAGCACAGGAGCTGTCCAGTGGAGTCGGGGTGCACTACCTCCCCGTGTGGGTGTTCACCAGCCTGGAAACTGTTAGGATTTTCATGGAGGCTTCATCACGCAGGAATCATCCATCACCCACTCTATTCCTAGGCCCTCTCCCTCCTCAAGAGAACATCCAAGCTGAAAGGTGCCAGCCTCTGACCATGGCCTGTTCTACCCCAGGACCAGCCCCTCTAGGAGCCACCCAGGACCCTACCCAGAGTCGCCTCATAGCCAAAGTGCTCCTGTCCCTTAGGATGTACAGGGTTTTAGGACCCCTGTGTGGGGACCAGGCGGAGACCTCTGTGTATATTATCTCACAACTACACTTCTGTTGGAAATGGTGCCACCCCTTGGAAAACACTAGAAGTTTTGTGAAAAGTGAAGTTTCATAACCACCTCCCAGCAGGCGTTCACCCTGACCTGCAGGGAGCAAGTCACTGAAGATCGTCTGCCAAAACTCAGAACGGAGTTTATTTAAAAATTCAATGTCCATTGATATGAACTATATTTTTTGCTCTATTAAGGAGATAATTTTTTTTTTTAGCTTTCTCACTTAAATCTTTGCATCTTTTGTGAACATTTTAAGTTTTTAAGTATATTTATGTACTGTGGTTTTTACTTGTTGCATTTCTACCTAGTACATTAAATTAAAATTTAAAATGGTCTTTGAAGTTAATGAATGTGCATGATTGATTTCATTAGAAATCCATATTTGTGTTCTGCAGGATCCTGGGAATCTGATAGAAATTGAATGCCTGGAGTATGAATTAGAAGCTTTAAGACTTGAAAATAAAATGAAAATCTACATCCGATCAGCTGTGGAGGTAAACCCTGAGCAGGAGCTGCGGACGCCCCGCTGTGTGTGGGTTTCCTGCAGGCTGTGAGAGCCGAGTTTGTGCCACGTTTAAAGGTGCTGGGATGTGGCGGGGACCCTCACCCTGGCTCTGCCTCTGGCTCCCGTGTGACAGGAGTAAGGGCAGCCTACTGTGCCTGAGTTTCTCCCCTGTGAGTACAGTGCCTCTGGCAGGAATTTCATGGGCCGGAGTGGCACCTGGGCCACCATGCTTCACAGTTCTGAGCCTGGTCCCTCATGGCTCCCGGGGCCACCTTGGCTGGGAGGCATGTTCATGGCATGAGGCTGAGGGCTGGAGTGAAACTCTCTTCCTGCTGAGCTCTCCTGTGGCCTGTCTGCCCCCTACTCCCATGCACACTGATTACACTTGTCCTTGGTGAAGGTCCCTGTGTCCCCATGAAGACTCTTTGCCATCCTGACTCATGTCCTGGAAGGCAAAAGTCACCCCCTGCCATAGTGTGGGGCCATCAGTCTCCTTGGGCCTGGAAACCTGAGGGGCTCCAGGGATGAGGTAACATCATTACAAAGGATAGGGCAGGTGGGGACCTGGGGGAGGAGAGGGAGGGACAGCCACATGAGCAAGTCCAGAAGGTGGTGATGAATGTGCCAAGCGGCAGTCACCTTCTTGAGGGAGGTCGTGGCTCCCTGAGGACTGCCATGTGCTGGTGCTGGTCCCCTCCTCTGCCTGCTGAGGCCTCGGGCTGAGGGCTCTTGGGTTTGTGAGGCTTTGATGACTTGTCCTAGCAGCCAGGCGCCATGGGGTCAGGAGTCCCAAGCGTGGGCTGGACCTCGTGGCCCAGGAGTCGTGTGAGGGGAGCCCCGAGGGCCCTGGGGAAGGCATGGAGTGGTGGGGCCTGTTCCATAGGTCCTGAAATACTGCGGCCAGACCTGTCTGTGGGGCAGGGTGCATGTAGCACAAACCAGAGCGCATGGTCTTTGGATAATACACTTAATGGGGCACAGGCCCCAGTAAATATACAGGACCAAGAAATCAGCGGCCTGGAATTCACAGAAGAGGCACATGCATGGATGTGCGGAACCTTTTCTAAGCCATTTATGGAAGTGCCTTTAAGGCTAGCAGTCCCTTCTAGAAAAGATCACACAGGCCATCTCCACCGACACTGACCACAGGCCCTACCCACTGCCTCCTGACCCTCTAGCTTCCCGGGCTTGGGGTCCGCCCAGGGTCCACCTGCAGCAGGTGACTGGTACTCGTCTTTCAAGCTCCCAAGCTGGTCACTGTCTTTTGTGCAGACCCAGCTGAACATAATCCAGCGGCTGGACATCGTGCTGCAGCGAGCCATCCGCCTGGGCGACCCCCAGGTCATCCACATGGTGTGCACCACCCAGTGGAACCTGTGCCTCCCTCTCCTGCAGCACAACCTGCGGCACCACCTGCGGAAGCCGCTGACCAGCATCGCGGAGATCCTGGAGAAGGTGGACAGGTGCTCGTGCGTCTGTATTCTGGGTGTCCCCTCAGAGGGCGGCGACACGTAGGCAGGAGAGGGCGAGGGCAGAACCCGTCCACACGGGTGAAGCTGAATGCAGCTCATCCCCCCAGCGCCGCAGGCCGGAGGCTGCGCCTGTCTTTAGAGAGGGCTGGAGAGGCTGCGGAGCCATGAGGCACCGGTTTGTCCCGAGCAGGGTCAGGCTGCCCTCAGCCCCTGCTCACCGCCGTCATCACCGAGGCCCCTCCGGCGAGCCGTTGCCGCTTTGTCCCTGGCGTGGGCTGCTCTGCCGTGTAGACCTCTTGGCTGTGTGTGTGTGTCAGCTTGCCGGCTCGTGGACTCGTCTGTCCCTAGAGGAGTCTCTCATTGTGGGACTCAGGGCTTATGCCCAGGGGAGTCCTGCTGGGTGCTGACCCACTCTGTTCTGTCCCTGCCCCAGGCATGGGGAGTGGCCTGTTTCCCGGTTTCCTGATGGGGAGTGTAGACCTCACCGTGGCATACCTGGGATGCTGGGGGTATCGGTGGTGCCTTCTCCCGGCCATAATGCCGGCTCCCTCCGGCAGCAGAGCCAGCCCCCTGGCGCCTTGGGCTCTCCCTGCCTCTGTCCCTGAGGTTATAAGGACCTGTGACATGTACGCCTCCATCATGCTGAGTCAGTTCTGAGTCCTGTAGAACTTTCGTTTGACAGATTTGTGGGATTGCAAATGCTTGTGTCCAGGGCAGGGCCATGACCTGTCTCATGGAGAAGGAGAAGGCTCTGAGGGCACTTTCTTTTCCTGCTGAGGCAGGGGGACAGGCAGCAACGGGAACAAACGCCAGGCAGGGGCGGGGCCCGCGGGCGTGGTGCTGTTGTGAGTGGCTGTGTGTGCCTCAGCCCAGGAGAGCAGGGGCAGAGACGGGGCTGCAGTGGTCAGTGGGGAGCAGTGAGTTGGCAGCACTGAGAACTGTTCAGGGTGATGGGGGGAAACAGTGCTGGTGGATGAAGGTGACGAGCCCCAGTGTCACATGTCCCTCATGCACAGCAGCTCTCGCTAGCAGGACCCTGGTTTGCTGAGCTGCTGCTTCTCAGTCTTGGAGGCCAGGTCCCAGCAGCTGTTCACCAGCTGGGCTCAGGCCTCCTGTGGCCTGTAGGGACCTCCTCTCTCTGTACCCCTGTGTGAGTCCTCAAGGCGAGGCAGGGTGGGACCTGCAGGATGCAGGAGACCCACTGCATGGTTCCCCTGAGGGTCTCGCAGGCGGCCAGTATTCCCCGCGCCCTGTGACGCTGTGCTGTGCTCCCCAGCCTCATGGTCCTGCTCCGCTGCCAAGTGCACATGGAGCTGGCGCACATTGAGGAAGACGAGGACCGGCTGGAGCCCGCCATGGAGCACCTGCAGAAGGCCATGCTCCTGGACAGCCAAGGCCTCTACCAGGAGAAGCTCGGGATGGCCTTCAACCGGCTGCATCTCTGCTCCATGCTGTACCAGTCCCCTGAGCGCGCTGAGGACAAGGCCATCATGGCCATCGAGCAGGTGCGGCACCGCCTTCGGGCCTACCCGGGGCCCACGCAGCCTCTTCAGAGCCCAGGAGCGCTCAGGAAAGGCCAGACCCGTACCATCTCTGCCTTTTGCAGGCAAAGAAAGCTATCCTCAAAGACAGCGTCCGGAAGAAGCGGGCCCTCCTGGTGAACGCAGGCCTGGCCCTGGCCCCCGACACCTTCCAGATCGTGCTTGACAGCGAGAACGAGACCAAAGGTAGGTGCTGCCTCACTCCCAAGGGGCCCCCAGGCTTCCCTCTTGCTCTGCTCCCGGCCAGAGGCTCTCAGCCCACATGACCTCATTTGTCACGAAGGCAGGAGCCTTGGGGTCCTCGGTCACCTGTGTGGAGGATCCCGGGTAAGGGAGATGGAGGACAGGATGGGGACAGGCCCCAGTGGTGGGAGGGACAGCTCTGGGTCATGACCCTTGGAGCGGCCAGGTGTCCGTGCGCCCCCTCCGTGGCGTGATGATCGTCACCTCCCTAGTCATGCCATAGACTGTTTCCATGCTGCCCCGAGCTGCCGGGGGAGCACAGGCTCTCTCCGCGGTCACACGAGACACTCCGAGGTGCCTCCTGGTGTGTCTCTTGCAGTCAGCCCGTGTTCCTGGGAACCTGGGGAGGAGGGGGTGGGGCCCTGTGAGGTGGGAGCTTCAGCGGGGTCTCTGTGAACTGGCTCCTGGAGGTGAATGGCATCTTGTGCTGAGAGGGCGAGGGCCCTGTGCAGTGGCAGCACGTGTCACACCCACGCCCACGGCCTGTCACGGACAGTGGGCCTCGCCTCAAGCCCAGGCCCAGGTCCACTGCATCCCCAGGGCAGCTGTGCCGGGTGGCCCATGGGTTCCTGGGGTGATGTTGAGCGCTCAGAGTTTGTGCTTATGTGCCAGGAGGAGCAGCCTCCAACACCAAGCTGCTCAAACGCCTGGCCTTGGGGGTGGGGCCGGCGGGTGCTGGGCAGGGGCTGGCGTGAGGGAGCGCCAACTTGGGGCCTGGGTGGGTGGAATAGGGGTGGTGCCGCCATGGGCCAGAGCAAGGCAGGGTGACCAGGCCGACCCTGCAACACGCTGTGCCCAGGGGCCTGGCAGCTTCCCTCACACAGAGGCACAGTTACCTCGACCTAACTCCCATCAAAAGACCAAAAATGGCCCTGGCCTGTTTGTCTCAGTGGTTAGAGCATCGGCTCGTGGACTGAACAGTCCTGGGTTCGATTCCAGCCAAGGGCACTTTGCAAGCTCGATCCCCAGCCCCAGTCAGGCTGTGTGTGGGAGGCAGCTAATCAATGTATCTCTCTCACATCGATGTTTCTCTCTGCCTCTCTCTCTCCCTTCCGTTCTCTGGGAAGGAATGGAAAATATCCTTGGGTGAGCATTAAAAAAAAAAAAAAATGCCCCAGGGAGGGGTCACTCTTCACTCCGCCTGAGCCCAGAACCCTGGGGTTGCTATAACTGTGGCTGCAGGCCAATGACAGAGATCATCCCTTGAACAGAAGTGCAGTCCCTCCACATTGTGTGACCCCCTTGCTTGATGTCAGCCTTATGTACATCTCGTCTCTGTCCTCAGTTTCTACCGGGAGGAACAGGGGCCGGTTCACTGCCCTCTTCGCCAAGGCACGGCACCACACCATCAGCGTGGAAAAAGCTGCTGGGCATTTGCGGCGTTTGGGGAATGAGAATGACAAGGAGAGGTGAGTGGGGACCTGGAGAAGGACAGGCTTACACACAGCAAAGCCCCCAGCCAGTGAGGTGGCTCTGTCACCCTAGAGCGAGAATGACCATCTGGTTCGGCAACCAGATAGCTGCCCCCTGCCCTCACCCCTGACCCTGGGGCAGCCTCACCCTTCCAGGCCACCCTGTTGCCTCAAGCCCCTGGCTGTGAACATTGGTTGTCTCCCAGTTGCTCTTTGCAACCCTGAAACTGTAGACCCACCAATGCCTTTTTCTCACGAGCTTTCTGATTCACCAACCACGTCCGAGTTCAGGTTTTCCTTTGTTTGGGTCTTTGGTGAGCAGAGTACAGATCTGGGCAGAGCTCGCCAAGGTTGCCCGGAAGCAAGGTGTGTGGGACGTTTGCCGGACGGCCAGCCGCTTCTGCCTCCTGTATGACAGTGTCAAGGTGAAGAAGCCGTCACGGATGAAGAGAGGTACGCACGAGTCTGCCCTGATCACCCAGCTCACTGCGCAGCCTGCGAACCCAGCAGGGCTGCCAGGTCCTGGCAGAGGCCGGGTTTGGTCCTGAAGTGAGGGAAGGGGTCAGTGTGCCAGGACTTGAGTCCGGCGGGCCTTCGAGTGCAAACAGGATTTTACAAATGCGTGTAGCTGACCGCTGAGACGGTCCATGACGGAGTGAAGGTGATGTCAGGGTCTCGTCGTGGGAGTGATGGTGATCACAGGGTCACTATTGCTGACCAGGGGCCGCCTTGTGTGTCTGGCTCTGTGCCAGGCTGGCTTCCTCCTCCATCATCTGGTCTGACCTTCACAGTCACTTCAGGATCTTCAGGGGGTGAGAAAGGGAAGGGATCTATTGTGAGTAAGGGAACTGAGGCCACCTTGATGGGAGCCTGTGGGCAGAGGGCAGAGGGCAGAGGGCAGAGGCTGACAGTGTGGGTGAGGACTGAGTGTGGAGTGTGGGCAGGGGGCTGGCTCCCCACGTAAGTACCGGGTCTGGGGATGAGTCCGGGTGCAGGTGCCTGGAGGAGCTCTGGTCTAGTGGGCGGTTAGCATAAGGACCTGTAAGAGGCGCTAGAAGGCCCACGAGGCGGGCGTGGCAGGCGTGGTGGCAGGACTGCGTGATGAGCAAAACCAAGAATTCTCTGTCAGGAAATCAGCGAGAGGAGGGACACTTTGCCACCCCACGGGGCCCATACACTTGGGAAGGTTTCCTCCACCACCCCCTGGGCACAATGTCCACCGGTCAGGGACCCCCGCCAACCTGGAGCTGGGGAAGGGCTCCAGCAGGCGAGGGGCAGCAGTCCCTGCCTTGTTATTTGTGGCGCGTCTGAAGCCGTGCTGTTCCCCCAGGAAGGAAGAAGCGGGGCTGGGATGGCTCGGCGTTGGATCCCAGGGGCCAGTTGCAGGTCACGCTGCACAGGCCGGGGTCCCCTAGCCTGCTGCGGAAGTTCGCGGAGGTGGGCTTCATCAGTGCTGAGGTGTGTCCTGTGTACAGGTTGGCTTGTGAGCATGGGTCCCCTCCAGAGTCCCCTCAGTGCACCATGGCGGCCTCATGGGCGTCCGAAGGCGCTGACCCTGCCTACGTTTACTCTGGTCCCCCACCTCTGCTCCTGAAGTGAGGCTATGGATTAGGGAGTTTCCTGGGTTCTGGTGGTGGGGATGAGTTCTGGGAGAAAAGTAGAAGTCAAAACGTTACTTGGGTTGATATAAATTTTCCTTAGAAATAGTTTCTGAATCGTGCCTGGCGCTGGGGCATGGCTCCATGACCTTTCCCTCTGCGCACTTCCTCTGCAGGCCACCGTCCACTTGCTGCAGTCAGAAGGTGTGGAGCTAAATAACTGTCCCAACCCCCCTGAGGACTTGAGCCAGCACCCGGCAGGCTACATGCTCGAGTCCCCCTCCGACAACTTGGAGTGGATCACATACAGGTAGGGGCCGCATGACTGGCAGGGCCCACGTGCCCTCTGCATGGGTGGCACTGTCTGTGCCTGGAGCGTGGGCTTTGGAGCTGCCCGGGGAAGTAAGGAATAGAGGGCAGGGGGCTGTGTCCAGACCAGGGGCGTAGTTGGTGTCCCACGTGAGAACGGCCACAAGACTGGCTTGTCCGGTGTTTCAGATTTGTGTCCATTCTGATCTTCCTTGTTATTAGTGAAAGTGAGATGTTAGGGAGACCCCACTTGTGGAAATAGAGAGGGGGCAGCTCTTGAATTTGCTTGGAGGAAAGGCTAACCTGTCCAGATGTGTGGAGTACACACCTCGATGGCTCCCTGTGTGAACGACAAAGCATTTCCTTCGGAACGTCCAGGAGACTCACCCACGTGAGATGCCTCGAGCAGGTCACTCGTGAAGTGGGTGCGGTGTTAATGGTGAGGGTTTGGGTTGTTTGTAAATCTGCTGCTCAGTTCTTCTTAAAGCGAATAGTTTTGCGGGGAGTTTGACTTGGTGTCGTAAGGCCACCTGTAAGGTTGCCTTCGGAGCTGCCGAGAGGTGAGGCTGCCTGTCTAGGGCCCGGGCCCATGAGTTTACATTTGCCCGAGGGTCAGCAAACCCAGGCCCAGGCGACATCTGATGCAGGGCCTGGTTTTGTATAACCCACAAGCTGAGTGGTTTTGGCATTTTAAAAATTTGGAAAATAAAAGAGAAAAATATGCAGGAGAGACCACACGGAGCTGCAGGGCCTGGACACTGCCTGGCCCTTTTCAGAAAAGGTTTTCCATGCCCAGTCCCCAGGTGGACAGTTGTCATTCGCCCAAAGTGCTGAGTGGGACTTGAGGAGAGTGGCCTGTGTGCGAGGGGTGGCTGCAGAGGTGGACAGGCAGCCAGGCTGGTCTTGGGCCAGGACTTTGTCCTCAGACTGGGAGGGCTGGGAGGTTTGCATACCAGGTACAGAGCGAGAGGGTCTGATTTGTATATGTGACCGAGGGATGTCCTGGGGGGAGCTGGGCAGGTCCAGGATCCTTTTGGAGAGAACATGGCAGGCAGTCCCCAGCAGTGGCACAATTCTGACCCTGCTCCACTGTCAGGGTAGGGCCGTGGGCAGACTTCATGCTAGCATCTGTGCTGCCCATTTGGGAGCAGACTTGTTCAGAGGGAGAGCTTGGCGTGTACGTCCCATAGGACCTGGATTGAGAGCCTGTCACAGTACGCCATGAGCAACTGGCTGCGGTCGGCAGAGATCGGACAGGAGATACAGGAAGCCTGGATCGTGCAGAACGCCGTGGTCTACGTGCTGAACCATAACCACCATCTCATCATGGCTGGGCGGCAGAAGGAGCTGGTGGATACCTTGTACCACCTCCTGAACATTGTCAAGCTCACCGGCCACAACGGGTGAGTCCTCGCCCTAGAGCTATGGGGTCAGATGTGTGTCCCTCTTTAGTGCTGTCACAGGGAGGGCTGCTCAAGCAATCCCCGGGTCTCCATTTACTAGCTGCACCCCTGAGTCAGACACTCACCCTCTCTGAGCCACGGGGCCATGTGTGGGGATTGATAAGGCTCTCAGGAGCCCTCACACCCGCCCAGGGCCCGCAGCATTGCCCAGCCGGCCTCTGTTCCAAACAGAACGGTTGTGGAGAAGGTTTGCCGAGGCCAGAGTCACCGAGGGAGATGGAGGAGAGTGGCCCCTCCTCGCGGCCCTCTGGTGTGGGGGGTTGAAATCGGTCTCTGCGCTTTCTCACAAGATGTGAGCTTGTGAAAGACTGATGAGCTAGCTAGGATGAAGTTTTAAAACTCTCCTTGCGTGTTTTCTGTTGGTTTGGCTTTTAGTCTGAGCAATAAGAGTTGAATATTTTCATCAGATGCTAAAGTAGAAATTGAAGAGTGAGCCAGAATGTGGCAGCACATGACGTGATGCTTTTAGAGTTACAAGTGAAAAAGAAAGTGGGCCATGACCTGAGGAAGTGCCCAGCGGCCCCCCTCTCCTGTGGGCGTGAGGCCGGCTCGGTCCTGACGCCAGCGCCCTGGGGGGGCCGCAGGCACACGGGCCGTCGTGCTGCATGTTTCTGTTGCCAACAAGGATCAGACTTTGAGTCCCTGGTTCTCAGCACATGAAGATCATCTGTGGCCATTTTAAACACTTTAGTACCATAACGTTTTGAGGGAGAAACACGGAGTTTCAGTATAAGCGCATTCGCTTTGGTAACTGGTGGAACATCTCAGACCACTACCCAGGGCCTTTCTGTCCAGCCCACGTGGCCCAGGTGCCGCCCTCTCAGCGTGGAGGCACCTGTGGCAGGGGACGGAGCGTCACAGTAGCAGACTTGTCATAGGCAGCTTCCTCCCTCGAGGCCTGAGAAAAGCTCCTTGAATAGGTGCCGGGCTGGTGGGCGGCCACCTTTTGTTTAATCACAGAGGATGGGGGCCCAGTGAACACAGCCGCCGCAGACTCCGGGGACTCGTGCCCTGAGTCTGTGCTTCACCTGCCACGCCTTGTGTTCCAGCGACTCTGTCATGCTGGTGATGCTCTGCAATGCTTTGGCCCGAGGCCTAATTATGAGCTGGATCCCAACCCAGATGCCAGAAAAATCTAGAAAACTCGTGCGACCAAACCAGGTGCACACCCCCCTGGACCCGGGAGCCGCCTCTCAAGTCAGGACCGCTGTGGAGGTACAGCCGGCCACGTGCGAGCGGGAGGCGGGGTGCGCTGGGCGGACCCCTGTGCAGCCACCGAGGGGTGAAGATGGGGCGCCTGCGGGTGAGGCTGGCGGCTGGCCCAGCTGCCGGGAAACGGGCGCTGAGCGCAGAGAGGGGAAAACGCACCTTTCTCTAAAACAAGGGAGCAGCGTCAGGGCCCGGACGCCCCCAGGGCCCAGCTCATTCCTGTGCTAGTTATTCCAGAACCAAGGACGGTAGGGGTTGGAGGCTGGAAAACTCCAGACCAGCCCCGGCGCAGAGTTCACAGAGCTCTGTGTATGGACGGAGGCTGCGAGCGATGGGAGCACTTATCCCATGAAATTTACTCCCCATACGCGTGGACTTGATTGTAGTAATCCATGAAAAGAGGGAGAATCGTGGTCTTGATGGATGTTGAAAAGCGCTGGGTCACCCATCACCCGTTTCTAGTTCAGAGGATGCTTAGCAACCACAGAAGAAAGCAAGTTCCTTAATGAGTTTAAGGGAACGGCCAGAACCTGGAGCAGACCTGAGTGCTGAGGAGGTTGGGGTGAGAAAGGCCCCACTGGCCCTGCTGGGGCTTGACAGGTACCCTCAGAGAGACAGGGCACGAGGCGCCACTGTGCTGCTGCCCCGAGTGTGCGCGAGGGGTGAGGGTGTGGGAGGGTGAGCCGCACCCCAAGATCGCAGCTCACGGCCCGCTCCAGGATGGGCCCAGGCTTGGCAAGTGGTTAAGCCATGGTTGTGGTCTGGACCAAGAGCCGGGGCCACTTATGGTTAATGATTTGGGTCTTGGCTCGGGTGTCTCTGTTTAGAATTCTGGTTTTATGAACAAGGACCCCTTTGTTTCAGGTCTGTGAGTTTGCCCTGAACCTGACCAATGGGACGGTGCCGGAGGAGGCCGTGCCCACGGAAGCCCGGCAGCAGCTCATTGCCACCTGGGTGAAGGCCAAGCAGCTGCTGCAGCAGCAGATTGGGTCGAGGCTGGGCACGGAGGAGCAGGTGCGGCCACAGAGCGCTGCCTCGCCCTCTTCCCCCGCCCCTTGGCCTGGCCAGTCTGGGGGCAGCGCACAACAGGCTGCGCCTTTCTCTGTGTAGGGTGTTTCCCTCCCACTGAGGTCGCTGCCCCCGGCCCCTCCACCTGCCAGGCCATGGCAATCCCCTCTTCCTCCAGCCCACTGGATGCTCTTCTAAGTGTGCACCAAGCTGCTGGGCCTCCGGGGGTGCTGTCCACCCTCAGTGACGCTCACTGCAGCCTTATTTGGAGTTGCACTAAGGCCAGAGGGGGCCCTCTTTGGTAGGGTACCAGGGGACCCTGAGCGGTGGACACAAGGCTGTGGAAGTGGGGACTGGGGAAGCAGGCAGGGACCCAGAGAGGAGAGGAGAGGAGAGGAGAGGAGAGGAAAGGAGAGGGGCTGCATGACCACAGAGGGAGACCATCAGGAGACTCCCGTGGGTGCCAGCCAGAGCCAGAACATGCTGGGACAAGTGAAAGGGAGACCAGAGAGGCGGTGAGGGAGGGCATCTGAGCGAGCCAAGATCGAGGGCTGGTTGGAGTGGGACAGGAGGGAGGCCCTCCCTGCTGTGCTGGCCGCCTGCCCTCCACCTGCAGCCGGGTCAGCCCAGTCGCCTGACCACTCTGCACCGCCTCCTGCCTCTTGATGGAGTGAGAAGGTCACTTGGAGACAACCTTATATACAAATAGCTCCAATTACTCCTATCAAGCTGGTATTTCACAGGGTTAAAGTCCCGAGTGCCCCAGACCCTCGGGCTCATAGTCACCCTCTGCTTCCTTCCCTAGAGCACCAACGAGGAGATCAACTCTGTGACCAGAGTCCTTGTTGCCCTGGAGATGTACTCCTGCAATGGACTGGGCCTCATGGACTTTACTGTGCCCCCCTTGGCCCACGTAGGTGTCACCTCCTCCCTCAGGTATCACCTTCCACTAGGTGTCATCTCCCCCCTGCCGCCAGATGTCACTACACCCCTCTAGGCCCAGGTAGGTGTCACTAGGTGTCCTGGTTGGCATGCCAGGTGCTATGCACAGGCAGAGTCCCTCAACCGGAGGCCACTTGTTCAAATCTTGCTGCTCAGAGACAGAACCAGGGTCAGAGGGCCTTGCCGGAGGTGGCCAGAATCGGAACCTGGCCTGCCTGAGTGACCTGCGTTCTCACCACACTTACTGTTCCCCTCAGGCACCTGAGTTTAGTTTTACACAGCACTTCTCTCTGAGCTTCCTCTGTGGCTCCATGCAGGGCATGGTGTCCCTGGGGACACCAAGGCAGTGTGGACACTTGGGCATCTGTCCCCCAGCAACTGACCCTGAGCCTGGGTCTAAGTTTATGAGCTAGTGATGCAGTAACTCAGCTTTTGTGGTGTTTGCTGTGGGGATGGTCCTTTACCCATTTAAGTCTGTCTGGGGTAACACAGCTCCATAATCCACAGTGAGGTTTAAAGTTTTAGCAAATGAAGTAGCCCGCCACTGACAGCATCTGCCACTGGGGGTCGAGGGATCAGAAACTCCCCACACTGAATGCCTTCCTCCGCCTTCCATGCAGCTGCTGAAGATGGCCTCCGAGTGCAGCTGGACAGACCCTCTGGTTGAGCTGCAGAGCCTCACTCGCCTGAGCTACTTTGCCTACACAGCCCACGACCATGAGGTCACCATGGCGTGCACGTATAAGGCCATCCAGATGGGCGTTAGGTATCTGAGGATGTCCAATCCGTAAGTAGCCTCCCTGGCGCCTGACTCCTGGTGCCCCAATGATGTGGCTGTTCCCCTATCTCCCCCAAGATCAGGAGGGACGTGGAGAATGTTTGTAATCACCCATCAGTGTGTAGGGGCACACGTGGTGACCAGGGATGACTTGTGTAGAGGTTACAGAGAGGGAGCACCAACCCCTCCCCAGAGCCCCACTCACCTCTGTGTGTCCCAGCAGCCCCATCGGGGTGCCAGTGCAGCCTCTGTTAAATCAGCAAGAAAACAAACATTCTAAACATGTGTACACTTAATAGTGGTGCTTCAGAATTCAAGAAGCAAACATGAAGCACATGCAGTTATAGCTGTAGATTTCGGCACTCCTCTCAGCAACTGGAGGAACACAGTAAGCAAAAGGAATCAGCGAGTTTATAGGTGATGGGGGCGATGCTGGCCTTGGCTGCACTCTGTCTTGAGAAACTGCTATGTAAAGATCACAGTGTCTGGGATGCTGGTGCCCAGGCAGGGCTACACTCTCACCCCTGGAGAGGGGTCTGTTCGAGTGTCACCACTGGAGCAGGGACCTGACCGTGCACAGCAGACCCTGCAGGCCAAGGGGCAGCAGCTTCCCCTTGGGCTCCTGTCTGCTCCTGCAGGCAGCTCCCTGGCGTCAAGGCCCTGAGCCCACGCAAAGAGTATACCCAGGAGCCAGTGCATTTCTCTCAGAATAAAGTCGGTGCCCCCGAGCTGGGTTGGAGGCTACTCTGGGCATTCTGGGCTCACTAACCTTCCTGTGCATGCACCCCCACTTCCCTTCTGTGTGCTAAGGGTATCTCTGTCTGCAGGGTCCAGGTTCAGCTGGTGGCAGAAATGCTGAGCACCACGGCCTGCATCCAGGGCAGGAGCATCATGGAGAACCTGAAGGGGCGGAAGCAGCTGCGCCTGTCGGCCGCCAAGGCCTTCACAGAGAGCGTGAGGTGCGCTGCGCTGCTCCGTGGCGGAACAGAGTGCGTGTGTCGTGTGTCTGGGGTATGTGTGGTGTATGGGAGATACATGGCAGCTTCAGTGCATGAAGAGCATGATGCGCAGGAGTGACTGTCGCAGAGGCCAGCCCTCCCTCAGAGATCCCATGGCAAGGGCTGGGGGGGCAAGGCAAGGGAGCTATGACGCAGGAGATTCACAGCAGGGACCCCCAAGGGCCCGTCCTGCAGAGCTGGGCACAGGCCCCAGGGGAGACGCTCGGCTTCACCCTGCCCTTTGAGGATCCAGGAGCTTTAGGTGTCTGGGTGTCTATAGTTGGCTAGGTTGGGCCTCCCTTTCAGATTTGGAGGCATCTCGCAGAGCAGCGCCCTGGTGATGCTGGCAGCGCGGCACTACTGGAACACCCAGCTCCCGCTCCTGTCCTCCGCAGCCAGCAGGAAGAAATCGAAAAGCACCATTCAGAAGATCGTCACCATCATCAACAAGACGGAGGCCAAAAAGCAGGTGCTCCAGGGCAGGCTTCCTGGGTCTTCCTCCAGAAAGGACAGGAGAGGTTCCCAAGGAAAGACAGACCCCTTGGAACTGCTCTAACAAGTGATGGACGTGGTGGCCTGCAGAGTGGGGGTGGCTCCTGGCTGCGCTCAGCACTTAGCTCTGACCTCCCTTCCCCACTGTCCTTCTCTCCCCTCTCCCTCCCCTCTGCTCTTTTGGGTTTACTTTGTTCTTTTTCTGGTTCCTTAAGGTCTAAGGAACTAGTGTAAACATTTGGAGCTCTAAACTTCCCTCTGAGTCCTGCTTTCACTTTGTCCCATCGTTGTTTTTTTTAAATGTGCTTTGATCCCATTGATTAAAAGCGACAGGAGTGACTTGGATGCTCTGTCACTGAGGAAGCTGTAGACACTGGAGGCCTGTGTGTGCTCTGACGCTGCTGACCTTGCACTGGACAGCCTTTCTCATGGGTGAAGTGTGACTTAACATCTTAGAAATTTAGCCGAAATGTCTGACATTAGATACTGAGGCAGATGAAACACAAAGTGGTGAAAGATAAACTACAACTTTCAAGTAGATGCCTTGTCCGTTTCTACTTCAGGAAAAAGGAGACGTGCAGCTTCTGCACCAGTGGCCGACGGCGGACTTCCAGAGCGGAGGGACCTCCGAGGGCTCTTTCCTCCCAGGTGCGTGGATGGAAGAATGCTGTGCTTTCAGTTCCCTCTGCCCTTTTGTAAGCCCGCGTGGCCGTGGCAGAAACCACAGGGGACGACTGCCCAGCGTTCGGGGTGTGACAGGCACTCTGAGTGCTTTTTATGAATGGCCTTGTGAAGCCCCCTTGTGCACAAGGGAACAAGGCCAGGTGGTCCCCTTGTCCAGGGCCACACATTCTTCCCAGTCCACCCGGGCTGCCTTGAAATCTAGCCTCTGGGTCATTCTAATAGATAAGTCATTCTACTTCCATAAAAATGTGGAGACATACTCCTGAAAAAATACTGATCTTAGAACAATGAAAACCATATTTTAAAACCCATGTTTAAAGAAAAATGATGATTATCTGCTAATTCACTGCCCCTCTTAATGTAAGAGTCCCAGTGTGTGCTCGGGATGTGCACGCTGGGGTAGAGCTGAGGCCCCGCCCGAGTACTGCACAGTCCTATTTAGAGACATAAATTTGACTTAAAATAAACAAAATCTGACCGTGTATAGTTAAATACCAAGTTGAGTACTAAACCCCAACAGTGAAATTGCTGGCGGTGCTGCAGAAAGCGGGGTAGATGGCGGCTGTCAGGGAGGAGGTGGGCATCTGGTCACGCAGGAGCCCTGGTGGAGAGCCAGCCCGTGTGGCCCATGTGGCGCCCAGGGGACAGTGCAAGTCACGTCCGCACTACTCTGTGGACTGAAAAAAACATCTTAGAGATTAAATGGTGTCATAGTTTTAAAATGCAAATTGTAGAAAAAAAATCAGAAAGTAGAATTGAGCATAGCAGAGATTTTGTGGAAAGATTATTTCCTAAATGTTAAAGTGATCAAAGAGGCACAGTTTCAAGTACATGAAAATTTAAATAATGAGAAGAGGGAGAAATGCAAAAAATTAAAACGTAAACACTGGGGAAATGTGCATCTGATTTGGCAGCTGAGCAGTGAGCTCCTATAACCCATCCAGAGTCGCATTGGCCTGGACAGGTCTGCTGTGCTCAGCTCCACGCGGGCACTTCCTCCTCCCTCCAGAGGCTCCATCTGCAGCCGTGGCCTCCACGGGAGGCTGTAGGGGAGGCTCCTGTCCCAGCACAGGCCCCTGCAGCCATGAGCCCTGTCCCCGCAGCGGCCGAGGACGACCTGTCCCTGCGCGCCGCGCTCTACGGGGTGCTGTTCCATTGCCACGCGGACCAGGACGACTGGGAGGGCGGCCTGAAGGTGCTGGACGAGGCGGTGCAGGTGCTGCCGCGGACTGCGCACCGCCTGTGAGTGCGCCCCGGACCCCCACCCCGGCCCGGACCCCTCCTGCATCCCCCGTGCCC